GTGTCTGTGTGAGTGTGAGTGTGTGTGTGTGTGTGAGTGTGTGTGCATGAGTGTGAGTGTGTGTGTGTGTCTGTGAGTGTGTGTCTGTGTGAGTGTGCGTGTGTGTGTGAGTGAGTGTGCGTGTGAGTGTGTGTGAGTGTGCTAGAGAGCCGGATCGCACAGAGGATGTTACACAACAGCGGCGTGACACAGAAACCTCCTCCAGGCGTTACCTGATATAGTCACCAGCACATTGAGTCCCTCCAGAACGTCCATCTGCTGGAAGCGTCTGCGGCTGATGAGCGGGTAGACCTTGCCCTGACCGCTGCGATCCAGCAGCATGAGGCCGCTCTCTGTGCCCACCAGCAGATTCACTCCTGCAGACACACACGTCACAGCTGATTCACTGAACACATCACACCAAAAACCTAAAGAGGGTCATCAACACACTCCAGCCAGCTGATGGTTCAGATGACACTGTTCAAAGCCTACTGTTCTTTTGTAAAAAAAAAAAAAAAAACCCATGCAGTTATTTTAACACACAAGGACTTAACAGGATGGTGACAAGTGAGAGCCAAAATAGAAAGAAAGATGTTTCAGAGGCAGAAAGAGTTATTTGGATGAAACTTTCATTTTCTTGGGAAACACATGCACTAATCATTCATTCACAATAACACCAAGTATGTCTATTAAATGTTTCAATTGTGAAAGTCCTCACAATAATTTATCAATATTTTTCTTTTTGCACTCAAATCATGGCTCTAGTTAAAGCTGCAGTCTGTAACTTTTTTTGGTTAAAAATGATCCGAAATCAATATTTGAGCAAGTACATAACCAGCTAGTGTTCGAAACTATCGCCTTACTTTAGCCCGATTCACAACGGTCAGCTTATAATAATGTTTTCTAATTTGAGTGGTAAGGGTAGGTTTTCACGGGAAATTCGAGCATGGCAGACGCAACACGCAGAGTATAGTTTTGTTTTGTGTGAAAACATGACTGAAGGCAGACTGCTGAGGGAAATTAAATGAAAATGTACTGTATGAATTATTTGTATGAATGTATAATAGGAAACCGACTGTCTTCAGAAAAGCTTCGATGGCATTTGCTTTCCGTGTAATGCGTAATAAAGCAGAGGTTACCGTGGAAACAGCTCTGTTCTGCTGTTCATGAGCGCCATCTGCTGTCAAACAGTGGATTTACATTGAATTCATTCAGTCTGTCTGCCATATTTTTGTTCAGACCAATGCGAAAATCGGACCAAGTTTTTGTTGTAAACCTTAAAGGGGTTCTTATTATGCTTTTTCCCTTTTTCAACTTTAGTTAGTCTGTAATGTTGCTGTTTGAGCATAAAAAAGATCTGCAAAGTTACAAAGCTCAAAGTCCACTTCAAAAGGCAATATTTTATTTAACAGAAATCACTTTTCAAAAACTACAACGAACGACTCGTTTGGACTACAACGCATATTTTCCGGGATTTTTCGCTTTTGGTGATCCACAAGTGAATGAGCAACAACTGAATTATTTTGGACATGGTCAGCTTGCTATTTATTGTTCCACCTTGAAATACAAATCGGCACGTAATGCTGCAAACGCCAAGTTGAAATCCAGTCGAATCAATATGGACGATTTACATGTGTCAATATACTTCTCTCTTTTGATCCTGTTGGCGGGAGATATACAGCTTAATCCTGGCCCACACACATTGGCTCCTTTGTACAATCAGAGCGGTAACGTTAATTGTTCATTTGAGCAGTTTGGCCGCGAAATGGGCGTTGATTCACTTGTGGATGGATCGGCAGGAGCTTCGGGCTGCTGGGATGAGGAGCTCGGATTGCGGTTTGCTGATCAGATTCTGCTGCGTGATTATGTGGCCCAGGTGGATTGTGAGAGACTGGGCCCTGAAGCTGGTACGTTAGTGGATGGATTTCGATGCCGGCAGGTTGGACCGGATCCTACGGGACTGATGGGTTGAAGTAATGGTGTTCCTTTTGGATCTGGCATGTTGTCTGCTGGCAATACGGTGGAACGTTCTCGGGTTGGTTTGGACTGCTGCGTAGATTCGGTTGCATTGCAGCGTGCAGTGTGGGACGAGTCGGCTGGAAGTCCGGATTGCAGTTGTGTGCTGCGTGGAGCGGGACTTGAAGTGAAAAGAACTAACACTGTGGCAGCTACTCCTCAGACCTGCGTTAACAACAGCTCCGACCTCGAGAATGTTGTTAATGGTAAATTACATCTAACATGCGATTCTTCTAAACAACATCAGAATTTATTTTTTCAAACTGTCAACCATGCAAAAGTTATCTGGAATCCCGCAGTGAAACCTAGAGGAATTTTTGGAGGACATTTAAATATTAGAAGTCTTATTTTGAAATGTGACGAAATTAGAACTTTGCTAACTGGATCTAATCTTGATTTCTTATGTTTAAGCGAAACATGGTTACATGATAATATTTTAACTAGTATGGTTGATATTCCTGGATATACGTGTTTTAGAAAAGATAGAGTTACAGGTAGAGGTGGTGGTGTATTAATATACATTAAGGATTCATTTAAATCTACAGAGATTCCATTAACTGAAAACGTTTTAATAGAATCTTTGTGTGTAAACGTTTCTCTTTCTCCACGTATGGAATTTAATATTGTAGTATTGTATAACCCCCCTTCAGGATGTGCGGTTACGTTTTATGATAATATGGAAGAACTGTTTAAGTGTTTTAAACGTAACTGTGAAGTACTTGTTTTCAGAGATTTTAATATAAATTGGTTAGATAAGCGTTGTAGAAAAAAGCTTAAGGATCTGACCTCAAAATATGACTATCGACAGATGATTAGTGGACCCACTCGTATTAGTCGGAAAACACAAACATTGATAGATTTGGTATTTACGAATAAACCTGAACGTATAACAACACACACTGGCCCAGCTAACCAATCACAGCACATTTCGTATTTCAGAAGGCGGGCTTTCATTTGATACAGGAACTATTCGAGCCGTTCATGCCAGACTGAGGAGAGAGGTGTTGTAATAATGTAAAATATGTGAAAATAATGTGTTTTTCGAACAACCTACTGTAGTATGAGAGCCTTTTCTAGTACACCCCCAAAACAAAATCAAGACTTTGTAAAAGAGCATAATAGGACCCCTTTAACCGGTCGATGGAAAATAGGCTACCTTAACAGTTATCAGAAGTGTTGAGATTTTTAGAATGCACATTAGCTTATGTAGAACTGTTTATGGAGCAGATAGGAAAATTTAATTTATCATTCTGACTTTTTATAAAAAAAGATTTTAAGGCTGAAATGTTATAATTCTATTTTTAAAAAATGGTCAAAACTTTATTTGAACATGTAGTACACACATGTTAGGACTATTTTTTGTTAGTTGAAAAAACGGTCATCGTTTTTTAAATGTTTTTATTTAATTGTAATGCAAACAAAAAGTGGATAGTGCTGCTAATTTTTGCAGGCTTTTGTCATAAAACTTGGTAAAATTATTTCAGTGTGTGTATCAGTACGTTTTTAACATTTCCAGCACATTTGAACAATACCGTGTATAACAGTTTGGACTGATACATTATTTAAGAGATTTAAGTATCATGTAATATGCTTTCATTTTTATAAAGTAGCTCCCGAATGAAATAAGGTTGGAGACCCCTGCCTCTGAGGCTATGTATTTTGTCTTATTGGTGATATTTGTAATTAAGTAATTTCAAAGATTCCAAAAAAATCAATGTATCCATTAATCATGAAAAGATAATAGAAAATAATTGGTCAAAAGGTTTGGGTACCTGTACATGTTTTTATACATTCGTAGTACAATAAACGTGCCTGTTTTTTTGTTGGTTTTTTTCCGGTTTGTCAGAAAGCCCAGGTGCGCCTTAAGCTTCAGGTCGTCCCGTCCCTACAGAGACTGATGATTTATCGCTGGGCTCAACAAGCTTTAGCTACCCCTGCAGATCATCCACTCCTGCCTTTGGTGTGGCAGAAATTTTTCCAACTTTACCTCTGTCAGCCTGGACCAGAGTTTGGGTGCGTTAAACAAAAGCATTCTGTCTTTATTTGGCTTGTTATTGTGATTTTATCTGGCATCTTAAAATAAAGATTTACAAACTTTTTAGATATATTATCATGCTATTTCACTTCACTAAAATGCAGTTGTTACATAATGCATGTTGGATTCAAAGTACATGTTGTACATGCTATATTCAAGTGAAAATGTTCACCCTGTTCTTCTTTTTTCTCCCTCCCCTCATTTCCCTTTTTGTACTCCTTTCTTATTGATGATTTCACTCATTTCATGTTTCACCAGATTTTACTCTAAGCTTTATGTAGCAGTACTGATGACTCACAAGACTGATGTTCCAGCTCTTTGACTTACACAACTTCTATGTTCTGTTCTCTGATATGTGTTGAACATAATGTCAGATGCATTTCATGTCCTGTGTTTGTCAGTATATTATTATTTTTGTTTCTGCACAATATCAGTTTTTATTACATGACTCTGAGATACTTTAACTCCACAATCCCTTTCCTTCAAAATAATGAAATAATTCCAGCACAACTCAGTATTTTATGTATGTTATGTATTTGTTTATTTATTTTTTATTTTTTGGATAATGCTGTGTTTCAGGGTCCTGATGACCCACTTAAGGGTCATTTTGCAGTAATGATCAAATTAATGTTTAATTTGCCTTGTATATTGCGTAAAGTATAATATTTGTGATTTGTGAACTGCATGAGTGGTACTGTGGTTTTTTTGATTATGTGTATTTCTGAACCCTTGCGTCTGATTTCTTTCTTTTTTTTCTTATTTCGCACCATCAGGCTGGAGGTGAAAGGTTGTATTGGAAGGCGTTACTTCCATGGTGCGGCCCATCTATCCTTGTTAAAAAGCCTCAGACAGCGGCTTGTTGAAGTGTCTGACTTCCACCATGCTGCAAGCAAGGCTTTGAAAGTGCCCTGCTCAAGCGGTGAATCCAGTGATGGTCTGCTCACCCCAGGGACGCCCATCACCCAGTACATGACCTCTCCTGAGCTGCACACTGAACTTGTGCGGTAATGTCCAGAGTTTTGTTCTCTCAACATCCATTATTCTATTTACTGTTGAGTACTATTGAGTGTTAAGTGACTACAGCATCTGAAAGAAACATTCTTGATACTGTTTCCAAGATGTGTTCTTCATTTGTATTACTCTCAAGTTAAGCACAAAATAAAGTGTGACCATTTTAGGTTACATTTAATTTGTGAATAGAAGCCTTATCATTCAACCATATGTTATGACATGTTAGAACAGAAAATACATTTTTAAATGTCAAACTCTTATTATTCAGGCTCTTCACTGTATTTGCTTTGTGGCTGGATGATGAAAACCTTCAGAAGCAGGAAATTTACTTGCCCTCTTTGCCAAAGCAGTATGACACCCATCGTCTAGCCAAAATCATGCAGCGCCAGCAGGTGAGGGTTTGTTTGAGTCCAGCAGAGTGCATTCTTTCATTTTTATCTTTAAGAGGTCTGAGCCATCCTAAGGATTTAGTAGATGGTTTTGAATG